AAAAGGGAAGTAGTGTCATCTGGATCAGTCATCTATATGAAAGACTTGACTTCAAACTTCTACACAATGGCTAATACCTGCTATTGTATTTGTAATCTTGATAAAATCATATTTGCTCATCTTCATCTTGTCGTGCAAGCCCAGATGATTGGGGCTGGTTGTCCTGAGAATTTAGACCTTCAGGATGAAGCCTTGAGTTAATGAGCACATGAGACAGTGTGCACATGTGCTGCTTGGTTTGCTGTGGGCAGTCTGTTATGGCAGTTCTCAGAAACTCATGTTCTTTGCTGAGGAAATGCATTTACCTGAAGCAGGGCTGTAGCTCAGAGGCACGAAATGCCCTTAGTGCCAGTGGAGGTACAACCAGGAGAATGTGCAGAGCAAGTGTCACACGTGCTTACTATTCCCAAGCAGGGAGAGAGGACTTCTACGTGGGAGAGGCATATTTTTGTCTGATAGAGTAGAATTTATTACAAGGCAAAGCAGTTTGTTGGAACCCTTCACTGGGGGCCTAGAGCTTGATGAAGAGTTTTCATGTGAAAATTCCTCAAATAAGTTATCATTTATTTCACAGAGATAGCCTGTAACTTTCCTAGTTGATGCAAAAGATGTGGGACTTACACTTTTCCCTGGCATCCGTGCCACTTCAAACCTCACAAAACAGCCAACCCATCAGCGACTTTCTTGAGACAGAAACATTCCACCCTGGAGAAACCACCAGTCCACATGCAGACAACGTTTAGGATTCAGTGGCAGTTATTTCATTTTATGGCCGAACTGAAACTTTTTCTTTTTTTAAATCAAGATCTACCCACATCCCAATAAGTGTTATCAAAAATAACTTATACAACAAACCTTGATGTATTTTAGGCTTTGTGCTAGGCACTTGGTTTGCAGTATTGCATTTTATCTTTGAAACAACCTTATAGAGTAGGTACTATTTTACCTTCTGATTAATGAAGAAAGAGGTTTACGGAGGTGAAAAGGCTTCTCTAAAAAGTCCATTCAGCTAATAAATGGTAGATAAACTTGAACCAGGTTAGCTGGACTGTAGATCTGAAACTCTTCACCACCACCACATTGCTTCCCAGATTTTAGTTTGATAAAAACCACTCGTAGCCATATTAATACTGACTATTTCTGGCCTGGTGCCCATAGATTCTGATTTGGATGGTCTGGGGCCTAGAAAACTGCTTTTCTGTTAAGCATTCCAGGTGATTCTCATGAAGGTGACTCAAAGACCACACTTTCAGAGACACTGGCTTCCCCACCACTGGCTGTCATTTAAAATCATAATGGATTTGACAGACTTCAAGAAATATTATCACTTCAAAGTACAAAAAAAAAAAAAAGTAGAATAGGTAATATAATTTCTTGTGAGAAAGTATGTGCTGAAGACAAATTATTTCATATCTTATTAAGATGTATTTTCATTCTTCAGAAAAGAACCATTCTTAGTAATATTTTCATATAAACTTCACTGTCCTGGGCGCCTGGGTGGCTCAGTTGGTTAAGCGTCTGCCTTCGGCTCAGGGTCCTGGGATCGAGGGAGAGGGCTCCACTGAGCAGGGAGCCTGCTTCTCCCTGTTTGTGGTCCCTCTCTCACTGTCTCTCTCTCTCTCTGTGTCAAATAAATAAAATCTTAAAAAAAAAAACAAAAAAAACACTTCACTGTCCCATTTTTTCATAGGCCATGCAGTTGCAGAGAAAGATGACAAAGGGGACAGTGGGAGTGTCTGAAGAAAATGAAAACACTACTTATTTGTAGCTTAGATAAGCTTTCACCCACACAGCTCTTCTTATCAAAGGTCTGTGACAGCAAAAACACCAAGAAAACGAGGCATTTGAGGAAGAAAATAAATACATGAATGGGAAGGTTGTAAATTATTCATCTAATAACTCAACAAAGGCACCACATTACATGCTGGGGTACAAAGTAGTTAGGAGTCATTGTTTTTGGACTCTCTGAGCAGCCAATCTGGATAATTTAAGTATAAAGTCCAATTATAAATCAAATAGGTTAGGCCTTCTTGGCCCTCAACTGTGGATGCTCAAGGCTATATTGGCATCGCCTAAGTGAAAAGAATTAATTTATTCTCTGCCATATGTGACCCCACCCCAGCAGGGTACTCAACACTGTTTGTCAACCTTTTTACTCATTCCTATCCCGTTTATATCTTAACAGCTATTTTGAATCCTTTCCCATTCCCTTCAAGTTCCCAAATCCATCCTCAAAGCCCTCACTTTCCACATATTAACTCGCTTTTCATCCTGGCCATGCCTGAATTCTCTATATTTCCCTTCCTGCCACATTGAGATTTCTTAATCCATGTCAAGCGCCTTTTCATAATTTCTTAGCTCAAGGTAAAGAGAATCTTAACTTCTCTCTAAGGCTAACTCCTCCACCCGAGTCTGACTGCATTTTATGCCGTTTCCTTAGGACCTTCTTCCATTCTCAGCAAACAAACATTAGTCACCTTTAGCATTCCAGATGCTGTATTGGGCACTGGGGACACTAAGATGAAAAGACAGAAAGCTGTCCTGATGCAGCTCACAGGAGAATGTGGAGACAGATAATAATGGTGGTGAGGGTCACTGCAACGAGACTAGGGTCACAGGACTTGGGTTCCTGTAGCTGGAGACATAGAAAACCAGCGGAGATTTATAAGACAAATGAGAGTTCATCAGGTAGACAAGTTGGAGGAACAAAAAGACAGAGAGCCTCGGGAAGCATGCATGGCCAAACAAGTTATCTGTCATGGATGGAAAAAGGTCCCATGGCATGGTTGAGAAAGAGCATTAAGGAGTTTAAAGTTTTAATGAGCCCATGGAGCCCTGTTATCAGAATGTATGTCACAAAGCTCACAGTCTGGAAATACCACAGTTGAGGAATTAGAATACTGTAAAATCAGAGGCCAGAAGCCCAGAAAGTGGGAAAACTTGGTGACCCAGATAGGATATTGAGCGCCTGGTGTGGAGCAAGAGAGGTAGAGAGAGAGAGAGGAGCATGACGGATATATAAAATCCACCTGTAGGTGGTAGTGTCACAGAACTTAGGAATTTATGGTATGTCAGGGATAGGAAAGAGAGAACACAGGTTGAGCTCCAGGTTGTTGGCTTTGGTGACTAATGGTTTTGTCACCAGTGGATAGTGCTGGGGCACCCAAGACGACACGTCTAATGGACAGTTGCATGTGTGGGTGTGAAACAGACACTGATCCGAGCATCAGCAGTGTAGACAGGCCAGGTGAGGGCACAGCTGTGGGCATGATTACCCAGGGAAAATGGGGGGAGGGTGTGAGGAAGCCATGAGAGGATGGTTTAGGAACCCAAGAGAGCCAAAATCAAAGATCCTCAAAAGACAACTGAGAAAGAGCTAGAGAAGTCAGAGGGGAACGTGAGTTTGATGGCAACGTGGAACTTAAAGCGAAAGATGTGCAAAAGGTGAAGCGAGCAGCGGTCGGATGCTTCGGAGGAGCGTTCTGGTAGAGTCTGAAAAGTGCCCCCGGGCTTCAAGGACATTTCCCTCTTCAATTTAGTTTTTTCTCCGCCTTTGACCCTCACACGTGTTCGTGTCTTCCCACGATTAAATAACAAATTTCATCACTACATAAAAATTCAGTTGAACCTACTCGTCCCCAGTATATTCTTTTTCCCTTTAAACACGGACTCTCACTTGACTACTACTGCAATGAAATTGCATTTCCTCATCTTAAAAGTTGCCGGGGACATCCTTTTCTCACCCACCAGTCACATTTTAAATGCCAATTCCCATGACCTTTCCCCAGGCATTGTGCTAGCTGATCTCTCTATAAAATTTTACAATATTAAGTCCCTTTTTCTGTATTTTCCACCGGCTCTTTCACTATGGATTTGGTTTTCTTAGTTCCCTGAGGACACCTTTGCAGTTTCCCCCAGGGACTCCCTCTTCTTGTTAAGATCATTAAATAAAACTGTCCCCTCCCCAACTTGATCCTTTCTTGTCTCCACGGAATTCACATTTCCACACATTCCCCACCCCGGCCCCTGCATGCTCACAAATCGCTAATGTGTAGACGACTCCCACATACAACCCTGAACTAGATTTTCAAGTGGAAAGCTGCACACAGAAATCCCACCAAATTCAATATGCCCCAATTTAAACTTGTTTCCTTCATATCCCCGGCCCCCCCCAAAATAGTTTCCCATTTTCCTGTCCTGTCACCGATGCCTCCTTCCCCTCTTTCACTTCCTGTACCCAATCAGCCCTCAACCTCAGTATGGATTCTCTCTCTGAGAGAATCATTTTTCACATCTTTCCTCTAGTATGCAGACCAACTGCAAAATAGGGTATTTAGATGTGATACAAAATTGCAGTGGTTTATTTCGCATGAGAAAATAGTAACAGTAGCCAACATTTATCTAATTTTCACTGTGTGCTGGGTAGGCATAGTACCTATGTATCTTAGCATAACACACATATTTTCTTTTTACTATTCCCTCTTCTACAAATTTAGACAAGCAAGGTGGTTTATTCCCTGTCAAATGTTCTCATACACCTTTAGGGATTTCTTTTGCTTTGTACATCAGTCTGAGTTGTGTTAATCATCCAGGTTTTGGATGATTAAAAAAAAAAACAAACTAAGCATTCTATGTTAGTGAACATTAGCTCATTTTGCCACCAAAACTCTATTAATAGGCACTTACATATGTCTAAAACATAACTACAATCATGATAACCCAAGCACAGTTAAATCCGGAAATATTTTGAGAGGTCAGAAGATTAAAACATGCTTTACAAAGTCTTGGTGCTCGCGTGTTCTCATTCTTCAAAAACTGGTCACCTCTGAGTATCTATGTGTGAGTAACATATAGATCACTTAATCTCTTTCAAGAGGGTGTTTTTTCAATTCTTTGAATGCTGCTAATCCCTGAGGGGTAGTTCTTGGTCCTTTTCTCTTTAGAACCCACAAGCACACACCCATTGCCCATCTTGGTGAGTAACAGTAAACTACACTTACTTAAAAAATCCAATTCTCGCAGAAACCTGTAAATCAGCCGAACAATTTTCGTGGGCACAAAATCTTGCGAAGTTTATCTGGAAATAAAATATGACAGTATTTTTTTATGGTAGTTCAACAATTTGGGATACTTCTTTTTTAAGAAGACATCTATGATACATGAGAAAAATGAAACAAAATTGATAATGCCATATTTTGTTCCCTTTGAAGAGTTTAATTTGAGGATTAGTCACAGGTTCAAATGACAACTGTAGGGCTAAAGGAACTGATTCTTCCAATGGGTAAATTGAAGGCCTAAATTTGTTAAATGGAAAAAATTGTTTCTTTTATAATCGTTATGAAAAAAATGAGTTTAATCAAATTGAGGTAAAGTTTTAAAGGTGTTTAAAACCTGTGCTGCCAAGATATTCTTTCCTGAGTTCCTCTCAGTTTTCTGGTGATATGGTTTGATCCACTTATTACAAATAAACATGGCACTTACTTTTCACAGATGGTAGGACAATGGGCTTATATTTATTGGAAACAATAAGATGTAGAAATTTAGAAATTTTACTTTGAGGGTACATTGAACAAAATTAAATGATAGCTGACCCTCAGGGTTCCAGAATTTATTTAACTCGGAGCATTTTAATAGGACCCAGAGAAATAAAAGGTATATGGGAAAACCTGAGGTATAAGATAGACAAAGAAAAAGTGCAGAGAGAGAAAAAGGAAGCTGAGAGGAATAGGGGGAAGTGGAGAAATGCTAAGAGAAATCTAGAAAGTCAGAGAAGGAGCTTGGTTCATTAAATGGGAAATGACTAGCATGTTGTCAAATAGCACGTCCGACCACAGCCTGCCTCGACCCGGTGAAGCAGAAGGGAAGTGTAAATCTTTCTCTAAATGATTAGGTAAATATGATTTTTTTTTCTATCACTCTTATCTGTAAAGCATGGTGTTCTAAAAATCAAAAGGTAGAGTTTTATTCTTTTTTTTTTTTTTAAGATTTTTATTTCTTTATTTGACAGAGAGTGCAAAAGAGTACAAGCAGGGGGAGCAGCTGAGGTAGAGGGAGAAGCAGTCCCCCCACTGAACAGGGAGCCCGATGCGGGGCTCAATCCCAGGACCCTGGGATCATGACCTGAGCCGAAGGCAGGCGCTTGACCATCTGAGCCACCCAGGCGCCCCGGTAGAGTTTTATTCTAATGTAATTACAAATTGCTAAGGTTTGGGCTTATGTACTTACCATGCTGTGTTTTTCATTATTAAACATAGTTAAGAATAGTTGATATTGACAACTAAAGTTCAACAGAGGGGTGAAAACACTGACTTCCACAGATAACATTAAAGTGTATTGAGAAAACTTGCCTAAAGGTATTATGTTCACTGGATCTAGCATTCTAGACTAGAGAGTCATGATTGTAAGCTCAAAGACCTTCAAGGGACTTAGGAGCAACTTGTCTAGACAGGATGCGAACTAGCCCTTGGAGTGTCCCTTCTGCCCTTCACATTCCTTGTACCATTAGCAAATGCTTTAGTGAATGTTTTTACCATGCCCCCAAACATCCTTTGGTCTTTGCATTGTTGAACAGTAAAGGTCCAGACAACTGGACTCCTGGGAATAAATACACTGCAAGTGAAAGGGAGATATTCTGGAATACGTTAGAGAAGGCTGTTCACTAGTTAGAATGCAAGATCCATCTCAAAATGCAATGGATCCTGGGACGTGGCTGTAAAGGCTATGGTTGAATTTGAAAGAGAAATTGTTGTGTAACAGAAATACTTATGTTTATAAAGGATTAAAAGCCAGCAAGGGGACTTGCCTACCAAGACTGGATGAATCTGGGTAGAGTGAATGAGAGGGAGACAAAATGAGAGAGAAGGAGGCAGAAAATGAAAAAGGGGAAGATAAACCTCATGAATGTGACTCACTGTCATTATAAGCGCTCCCTAGCAATATATTTTCTGATTGGGCAAGGAATCAAGGAAAGAAAATTAACATCTCATGTATATGGGAAGCCATTGCTGGGACTAAATGCATATTTTAAAATATTCAGTTTAATATCCTAAAGGGAATATAAAAAACAAAGAAAAATGGAAAACAAAGCATATCATAAATCTTTTCATATTAAAAAAATTCATAAATTTTTTAAAAAAAATTCAGAAAGATAATTCATTTCCCCAGAATTAGGCAATGTTACAAAAGAAATTACTTTAGTTACATGCACATCATGTTTTGAATAAAGGAAAATATTCTTACTGTTTTTTCAATTACGTCTTTTTCTTTCTTCTGCTGGAGAATTGGCTGAAGTGGTGGGAATTCTTCTGTACTTCGTTTACTGATGACATGATGCCCAAGGTGGTAAGCAGCTTCAATCTGAATTGGGGTGAGGATGTCCCGCACATCTTTCTAAGGAAATTTAAAACCATAAGTTAAAAATAAAAACAATCATGTAAATTTAAAAAAAAAGCATATATAGAAAGTTCCTCCATTCCTGCATTAAAGTCAAACAACAAAGAAAAGATAAAGTATTACCTTTTCATCTAAATTTTTAAAATACACTGAATGTGTATATTTTTTCACATCACAAAAGCATGCATATTAGAAAAAACACAAAAAGAGTATAACAATAAAAAAATAGCGATCCTGTAATAGTTACATAGTTTTACATTTGGACATGTTTTCTTTCATGATATTTTCTATGCATACTTTTTATCACTTGACATAAGCATTTGTAAATCACTTTGAAGTACTTATCAGCATTTTAACATTTCCCTGTAGTAAACTTGTAGAAATAGGATATCTCAATTTATTCGAGTTTTCTTTTTATATGTCTCAGTAACATTTTAATTCAATTTGATTCATTTGATTTCCTATTATGAAACATATCCTTTTTTCCTATTCTTTTTTTTTTTAATATTTTATTTATTTATTTGACAGACAGAGACAGCGAGAGAGGGAACACAAGCAGGGGGAGTGGGAGAGGGAGAAGCAGGCTTCCTGCCGAGCAGGGAGCCCGATGCGGGGCTCGATCCCAGGACCCTGGGATCATGACCTGAGCTGAAGGCAGACGCTTAACGACTGAGCCACCCAGGTGCCCCTTTTTTTCCTATTCTTTATGGAACTTTTCCAATTATATTTTTAAGTAGTTTACAAATGGTATGTGGGAAAGTTATTTGTTTTATATATTTAATCTTTTATCCTAGTCACTTTACTGAATTTTATTAGTTACAATTTTTCTAAGTTTATTGTGCTTTTACACTTCACAAGGAAAGTTCTTGGACTGTTTATCAATTATACAGGAATTGTACCCATTAGGGATCCATTCTGCATGATATTCTTTTAAATTTAATATCTTACTGATTTTTTACACAGCATTTCTCATTTGTAATCATGTGGTCAAAAAGCCTTTTTGAATGATTTTAAGATTTTATTTGAGAGTACGAGCAAGGGAGATAGTGAGCGAGCATGATAGCAAGTGAGAGAGATAGCGAGAGAGTAGCAAGAGAGACAGCGAGAGACAGCGACAGCGAGAGAGATAGCGAGAGCGAGAGCAAGAGCGAGACAGCAAGAGCGACAGTGAGAGAGCGAGAGAGCGAGATAGCGAGAGAGATAGCGAGAGTAGCGAGAGAGACAGCGAGAGATAGCGACAGCAAGAGAGATAGCGAGAGCGAGAGTGAGCGAGAGCGGGAGAGCGAGAGATAGAGAGAGATAGCGAGAGAGACAGCGAGAGATAGCGACAGCAAGAGAGCGAGAGCGAGACAGCAAGAGCGACAGCAAGAGAGCAAGAGAGCAAGAAAGAGAGAGATAGCGAGAGAGAGATAGCAAGAGAGAGTGCGCGCAGGAATGAGAGAAAGAGGGAGATAGTGCACGCGCGCACGAGAGAGCTAGTGAGAGAGCGCTAGTGAGAGAGAGAGAGCTAGCGAGAGAGAGAGAGCTAGCGAGAGAGATAGCAAGAAAGAGCACAAGCAGGGAGGAGAGGGAGAAGCAGGCTCCCCACTGAGCAGGGAGCCCAATAAGGGATTCGATCCCAGGACCCTGGGATCACGACCTGAGCCGAAGGCAGCCACTTAACCGACTGAGCCACCCAGACATCCCTTTTTTGAATGATTTTTAAAATTTCTTGTATTCTGCCCCCAGAGAAACAGCTCGAGTTCATTACACTGTCAATTCACATATTTTAATCTACGTGAATTTCTACATGCAGGCATTATTTTTCCCTTTTAAAAATATCTTCTCATGTACTTCAAAATTATTTTTTGATTATTCACTAGCCTTCTACTGAAGAACATACCACATACTATCAAAATTATTTGCTAACATACATATATACACAAACAGTAAAATAGCTGACAGGAAAGTAACTTTGAAAGCAGTTGTTCTCTAATCTCATGTCTACGGGAAAAAAAAATCAGTAATGCATAAAACATGGCACCTCTCAGAAAGCACTTAACCCGGCCCTCTTTAGACAGAAATGAGATTTTCAAAGTCTACTGAACAAAATAGACACCTTTCTTTTTCTAAGTGGGTGGGCAAGTAAGATTTTACTGATAAAGTAATCTATGAGGATTTATATCAGAATTCAGGAGACAATTTCATGAAATAAGACACGTTGATGGCAAATCTATAAAACAAGTACCTTAAGCACCACAAAAATTAAATGTAGAAATGATCTCAGGATTTGAGAAGGCAGTTAATAATCAGTAAGGTCTATCGATATGGAACTATGCAGTTTTTGTTTTCTTTTCTTTTGATACTAAAATTGTTACTATACTTTTATGTCTGAGCTTTACATCACAGTTTGACTCAACTTTTCAAATACCCATTTCAGTCTATAGGTTCTCTTCTCGATTTATTTATTATTTATTTAATATTTTGTTTTTAAGTAATCTCTATACCCAACATGGGGCTCGAACTCACAACCCTGAAATCACGAGTCGCATGCTCTACCAATTGAGCCAGCCAGGCAACCTGGTTCTTCTCATTTTAAAAAAGAAATTCAACTAAGTTCATTTTGACCATTTAAAGAGACTCAAGTGTTTGCACCAGGGCTAGACATATTACCTTAAACCATAATTGAGGTTTATATTTATTCAGTTCCTGAGCCGATCCATGACTTTGTCATTAACAGGACTCCCAGTAACATTAGTAGACCAGGTTTTTATTACCTATGGGCATTTCAAGATTGGAATATGGCTCAAACATTACTGCCTAAGAGCAAATAAAGAACAGATAATTTGTAAAGCTCATCAATTAGCAATCCCTAATGGGTAAGAAGAAGAATGCCTGTAATACAGATGGTTGTGCTGCAGTAACTTGATAAAAATCAATGAAGGAAATTCATCAAGATGATTTATCACATAAAAGACAACATCTATTTTTTTTTAAAAGATTTTATTTATTTATTTGACAGAGAGAGAGACACAGCGAGAGAGGGAACACAAGCAGGCGAGTGGGAGAGGGAGAAGCAGGCTTCCCGCTGAGCAGGGAGCCCGAAACGGGGCTCGATCCCAGGACCCCGGGATCACGACCTAAGCCGAAGGCAGACGCCAAACGACTAAGCCACACAGGCGCCCCAACAACATCTATTCTAGGTCTTTATGTAAATAAAAAAGATGAAATATTTTTTCTACATTATTTATAACTATCAATATATGTATATAGTAGGTACAGGCCTGGGGTTCAAATCTCAGGTGCAACACTTACTATCTGTGTAACCTTGGGCAAATTACTTCATCTGTCAATGGCTCAGTTACCTCATCTGAAAATGGAAATAAAGACAATTCTTATGATACCTATACCTATTGCTATGAGAATTCAGTGGCATGATGTTTGTAAAATAGTATAATGCCTGGCACTTAAGATCTTAAGAGATGTTAGATATTGACTTGTTATATGTATGCTGCTTCAAAATATAGCTACATCAACCAATCAAGAAATGAATTTCAGTTTAAGAAATTCAGGTGAACAATTGGAAGGAATAAAAAAAAAATAAGAAAATCAGACCATTGCCAGTCAATGAACATTAAGTAGGAAATGAGTTAAATACCAAGTATTAGACTTGTACTAATTAATTGGTACCTGGAAGATTTGGAGCATGAATCAGAGTACAGGGGATCTCTTATTACTTTTCCATTCTTATACATGGAGATGATTTTATTAAATTACTTGATAAGTGATCCTCTCAACATGAAACTTTGACCCTATAGGAATGCTGCAAATCAAGGCCCAAATCCCAAGTTATCAACTTGTGAAAACGGAACAGCTTGAAGCCCTGAGTATTACAATAGCAAACTTGATTAAATCATTCCCTAGGTGTAGAAGCTAGACAGCCTTTGATTGTCCCTCCACATGTCCACTGTTTTAATTCTTCTCAACAAGCTTGCTTGGACCAAATCATGTTATCTAATTCATACTAATTTTCCACAAGGTCTTCTCTACATCTGGTGTATATTACTTTCATTATCCTAATTAGCTATTAATTATGCTTTTCTCACAATACAGAAAATGTACGTGCACTCTTGCAAGAACTGTATTTGACAGATATTCACACTTATTTAACTTTAACAGCTCCACCTAAAGACAAAGGCTAGAATATCAAAAATGTCTTGTAGTGACTAATTAAGTATTGGGGAGGGAAAAAGTAGATTTGCTTAAAATTTTTCATTTGGATGGGCATGTGCTATCTATATTAAAAATAATGAAGATTCCATGCCACATTTTTATGGACAATTACATAAAATAAGGCAACCCACAAGCGTGCAAATGAGCACATGTCTGAAATTACACAAAGTCCGCCTTCTTGTTTGACTTTTACAGAAATTCTTATTTACGGCCACTTGAGAACTGAGCCATAGGCCCATATCCTCCTACTGTGTGTATGCAGTAAAAAACCTAGGGGGTGGAGCCAGATATATTTATAAAGTTTACTGAATGAGAAATGATACTGAGGTATAGACATTTCAACGTATCTATTCATGCTGTGTCGAAGGAAGACTCTGGGGATACAAAACTGAAAGTCAATACCTATGTCACGATTTATGGGTTATGGATTGTGACATATGGATTGTGACAATCCATAACCCATAAATCCACACACAGTGTGGGGGATGAGCTTTCTGATGGATGTATACACAAGTACAGAAGGAGGGCCACCCAACCTACAGTCAAAAGAGGATGAGAAAGTCTAACACAGAAGAATTTTAAGCAAAGAATATGGTCAGATTTATGATTCTGAAATAACCTTCTGGTACAAATGTGGGAAATGGGTTGGGGAGGGAGGAGGAAAGGCAGAGGCACGGGCTGCAACTGAAGCCAGCACCACCACTTGTAATGCTAAGCACTCTAGCTAGTAAGCCTGGTTCGGGAAGTGGAGGATTGTCAACATCCGGCACTACTAACGTCCTGAG